CCGTTCACGGGCCGGGGTGGTCGGGCCCCGCGGAGGCGGTGCCGGGCTGCCCCGCTTGAAAACTTGGGGGTTCTCCGCATTAGTTAGGGCTTTTAAATGAAACAAGGTTTACTTTTGCGTCATGCTGGTTAGAGTAGCACTTCCGCGCAAAGCGAGAGTTTTCTTATTTTTCTGTTTTTTTTGGGGGGGTTACGCTCTAGACATTGCTCGTACGTGTTTTTCCTTCTCGTGCAGCTTCTTGCCCCCTTCCTCTTACACGAACCTGCCAGCATTGACTGACAGACGCTTCCTTTCTGACCCCGTAGAAGGTTATTTGAAGAGGACTCGCGTACTGTTCTCTTACCGGTTTATATGGGTTTTTGTCTTCAGGTACTCCGGGCGTTGGGAAGACCACGCTCGGAAAAGAACTTGCGTCAAGAGCCGGGATGACCTACATTAACGTGGGTGACATGGCAAAAGAAGGTGGGCCCTATTAACGAAGTACTCCATCAAAGTGCTTCGGATTTTTTTTTGCTTTGTATAGCTATGCGCTTGTGCATCTATTACATATGAAATGAAAAGGCAATGAATTTGCTCTCAACAGAAATATTTTTGGTGGTGTGAGTTAAAAAAGCATTTATGTAACAGTAGCATACTTTGTATCAGGTAATAAATAACAAACTTATCCTTGTATGGTTTTGTAAACAAAGTGTTCCTTGCTCTGAACGCTATCTTTTGTTTGCATCCTCCTGAAATAAATGTAACAATATAAATAATCTTAATAACTGCTTGTTACTTCACAAACTTCCACAAATTATTTTTGCTGCAGGAGAACTGTATGAAGGTTTCGATGAGGAATATGATTGTCCGATTTTGGATGAAGACAGGGTAGGTCCAACTTCAAAACCGAGCATTTTTGTATTGGCACGTTCTGTGATTTCAGATGAACTTGCCCATCTTCGTCTCTTTTGTAGGTAATTGATGAACTAGAAGATAAAATGAGTGAGGGTGGAGTTATTGTCGACTATCACGGCTGTGATTTTTTCCCCGAACGGTGGTTTCATATAGTATTTGTACTTCGTACGGAAAATTCATTTCTGTATGACAGACTGGAAAGCAGGTATGCCAGTGGAGTAAATCAGGAGTGAAGTACTGTCGTGTGACTTCATTGGAGGTTTTTCTAGGGTATGAATCACTGATTCTCTATGGAACGCTTTCGTTCTCTGCAAATCTAAGACCGTCTCTTGGTATTGTTCTTGTTTTCTAGGGGCTACAAAGGGAAAAAGCTGCAAGACAACATTCAGTGTGAAATTTTTCAGACACTTTATGAGGAAGCTGTGTTGTCATACAGAGAGGAAATTGTACACCAGTTACCCAGCAACACTCCCGAAGACCTAGAGAGAAATTTGGATCAGATTACGCAATGGATTGAGCAATGGATGAAGGACAACAATTGACATTTGGTGAAAAAGTAACTCTGCTGGACTGCTTCGTGGGCGGGTTTAATAAATGACATTAATAATTCTTGTATGATAAATCAAAATTAATTTTATTGTCATTTGATGTGACTGGGGACTAGAAGAAGGTTCGGAATAGCCGGGTCGAAAGGCTTTGGAACAGCCTCTGGAGCACGCTGGGAAAGGCACGCGGGAGAACTGGGACAAGTGAAAATTCAGCAGTGAATGAAAGGGTGAAAGTGGCATGGTTGCCGTTAGTAGCAGGCACTAGGTTCAATAATGGAGAATTTTTTGGAGCTTACGATTAAAACCAAACCTTCCCTGCCTCCCCCCCTCCCCCGCCAAGGAAACTCTGAAATCCTGATAACTGATGGCAGTTGAGGAGCTTTTGGTTTCTAAAGGGTAAAACAGCGTCCTGAAAAGGGGTTAGTCTGTTTCTGAATTTGTAGGCTAAAACCTGCTATACTCCACTGTATTCCTGAATGCGTGGGGGCTGATGTAGACTGAGGGCTGTATGATGTAGTTCGAGGAGGGTGCTTTGTTTTGGAAGGAGGAGAAGTGGCGTGGAAAGAGAGCTATTTTAAAATGAATACACAGAACTTCGGGAATTACTTACAGTGTAAGGAAACATCAGCTGTATCTGCACCGGCGTGGAGTACCAGTAAGTTTTCTTTCCCCTTTTTCTCTCAGTATTCTCCATCACCCATCCCAATGACGGAACGTATTTATCACTGCAAGTTTATGGAGGAAATACATCATTTGGCAGGATGACGAACCCGCAGCGATCCAAAACGTGGTTACACTTAAAATACTGGCAGCAACCTGTTCTAATCACTTGCAAAGCCTGGGTCGCAGGAGACCGTGGCTGTGCAAAGCAGAAATAACCTTTCTTCACGGAAAAGGTGGCTTGTAAAGCCTTGTGAAAGGTTCTGTAGAACGTGCTTGCTAATAAACTTTTGTATACACGAGTTTGAATAGTAGAACTCTCTCTGCTTGAAAATTTCTATTGTGAAGAGTATTATGGCTACATATTTAAGATTCTTTCATTCCACTTTCGGTACAGACTTTTTGTGAGATTTACAGGCGAATACTGCATCGGCAATTTGACCCTTGCGTAAACCCAAATGGTGAGAAATCTGGAGTTTCCTCGCAGAATCGGGACCAAAGGCTGTGGAAACGCAGGCATACGTGCGTTGGTGTTGAACAGCCGCTTTCGGGGTGACTGCTGGGATGGGCAACCGGGCGGAGGGGTGATCTCTGCCGTGGAAGTGTCTGGACGACGCCAGTTCCTGCGAACGCTGTGAACGGCCGCGTCTTGTGAAGTCGAACCCCGTTTCCAAACGCTGCTGGGGATTTTTGCAGAGGCTGTGGTGGCTGGGGGCGGGCCGCAGGCTGAATATAGGCCTCTGCTGAAGAAAACCGAGCACCTGCCTCCACCTGAGGCTCGGCCTCTGCGCTCCGAGCAGCCTCCCG